AAACAGCATAGAAAAATCAGATTAGCAATTTAAAATAATGACTTGAACATTGCATCTAAGTTAAGGAAAGCTGGAGATGGGAAAAACAGTTGATTGCTGCAATATTTTACTAAAATTATATAATCTAGAGTGGTACAGCTTGAGGACAGTACCTGAGAAAGGAAATTCAAGAGATTTAGAACACAAAATGTAAGACTCTATGATGAAGTGTATCTCATTCAAGACTTTGTTATTTTTAAATAAATATTTTAAACATCAAGAAAGAAAAAAATGTTACCTATAACACAATACTTCTTCCTTAGAATTTTTATTTTATAGACACGGGATGAACTCTAACAGAGACACAGATTTTTTTATCACATGCCATTCTGCTTTTTTGAAACCTTTTGCTCTAAAGTCAAATCATATTAAAGTCCTTTTGAAGATAATCAGCCTAGGAGGATCAACAAATGACAGCAGCCAATACACATAATCCAACTGAATTAGTCACAACATAGCAGCTGGGATCAAGTTCATGTGCAAGTAAGTGATACTGGCGGGTGTGATGACTGCTGCCTGAATGACAGCAACTGTAAAATGTATTCTGATTTCAGGGGGAAACATGTACAAGTGAGAGTCAAGGAAACATAACCACTCATTTATGTCCTTACAACTAGTAAACTCCTTAAGCATAGAGTCAATTCTAATTTATTTTTATCTCCTACAGCATCTAGTAAAATGTTATGAGTACTTTGGTTTTACTCATGAAATACTCATTTATAAAAGACCATAGTAAATGTTTATAAACATCCTTGACAACAGTCAGTAGTACCATGCTGAACATGAATTTGGTACAGGTTTATGTTTTTTAGTGACTTCCTCTGGCTACAAGCTAGTCCACTGAATTTTTATTTTCCAAATCATTTAATTCTCTTTTAAGGATGATAAAAGTTAAAAGTAACATCTGAAAGTAATAGGCCTCACTTTAGTGACTACAAAAATCTACAAGGAGGTTTATTAAAAAATGCACATCATTAAGTTTCAACACAATTTTCTTTTAGCAAAATCTGGGTTAGAGTTCCAGAAAATACATATTAATAAACATTTACCAACACCAAGCTTCTGCCTCAAAATTACACACACACACACACAAAAAACCCTGTCCATCAGCAAAGACCCATGGAATACCCAAGGAAGAGGAGGACTAGGCCATCTGACCATTGACCTCTGTACCCTATGGCTGGCAATCAATGATGACATGGGCACTCTCCCAATATGGATCCGTTGCACAAAGTGGTTGTCCAGTCAGACAACCACTTCCCAACCCCCATAGGTCTAAAGTGTCAGCATGAAACTGGTTTGCAACAACATAGTTTCAGGCAAAAACTCTATGTATCTCTTCTAAGTCAAAGCTTATTAAAAGTAGGTGACTTCTCCAAGCTTTTCTTTCCCTTCTTTTTACAGGCTAGCAACAGATAATCACAAAACTTTAAATGATGACAAAGATCCAAGACAGAAGAAATATCAATCCCTGAATTATTTCACTAAGAACTGCCTATCAACTATGAACAACACTGAGTGTTAAATGAATAAAAACAAATGTCTATAAAGTCACTAAAACGTAGTGAACAAAGGGAAAGAAAACAGCAGACTTCTTGTGAAAAAAAATTCAATCTAGAACACATTACAAAACATCTTTAAAGTACTAAGAGAAAAAGAATTTTAACTTAAAATTCTTTACCCAGTGAAAATAACTTTCAAAAACAAAGGCTAATTTGAAAAAACAGCTATACTATACAAAAGCTAAAAGTAGTACGTCACCAGCAAAGATACACACTAAAAACTTTAAAGGATGCACAAGTAGAAGGAAATGGACTCTGGTTCCACATAACTGCAGAGCATTGGAAACTGTTAGATACATGAGTAAATATCAAGATTCTTGTATACTGTTTAAGTCCTTATAAAAGACAATTAAAACTGCAAAACTAACAACAACCTAGTGTGGAGTTTAAAACATGTTAAATAATCAAAATATGTCAATCAAAGCACAAAGGTTGAGAGGGGGAAAACAAGTATACTTTCGTTAGGGTCTTAGACTATACATGAAATAGTATAATGTCATTAGGAAATATATAAGTTAAAGTTTATTATAAACTTTAAAGTAATCACTAAATGAACACAAAGATATATAGTTAATTAGTCAAATGAGATAGGATGACTTCACCAAAAAATATGGAATCAAACCAAAATAAAGTATACAAGGAATAAAATGGGGAGTGAGGGAAGAAGAGTGGGGGCAAATAGAAAACTGTCAAGATCAGACCTCCCTACTGACACAAGGTGTTAAAGCACAGCACTATGAAACTATCCACAGACACTGCGGAACAAGTTTGATTCCCACGCCATGGAGGTGACCCACATGGTGCTCCCCCACTTGCCCTCAGCAATATATTTCAGTTGATCTGCCTGTTCTGCTTCCCACTCCATCTCTGGTGAATCCTCTCACCCCCTACACCTCTGGCCTGTGCCCCAGTAATTATATGCATAAATAAATAAATCTTTAAATAGCAAAAGAAAATAGTCAAGATAGAAGATTTAAACCAAACCATGTCACTAGCACATTAAATGTAAATGGCTTAAACATACAATTAAAATTTCAAGATTAGAAAGGATAAAAAAAGTAAGGCCTAACAATACAGGGCTTATGAGAAATCCACTTTAAACAGGCAGACAAAAATAAAAAGTTAAAGGATTAAAAATGGTTAGCCACAGCCCTCCCAGGTGGCACAGCAGGTTAAAGCACAGCACCAAGAATCTAAAGCCACTTCAGCATGTTTTTTTTTTTTTTCCACTTCAGCATGAGTTTTATCCCCGCCCCAGAGGTGATCCAATGGTGTAGCAGACCTCTCCTGACCCGCCTGCTGCTCCCCTCAATAGTGTACTTCACTCTGCTTGTTCTGCTACCCACTTGGTCTCTGGTGAATTCTCTCACTGCCCCTGCACCTCTGGCCTGTACCCCAGTTCTGTATGCATAAATAAAATTAATCTTTAAAAAAAAGAAAATGGTTAGCCACCTGGTTTCTCTTTTAAAAATAATCAGAATAAGAACAGCTGCTAAGATAATTATGGGTCATAAGTTGCCATATTTCAAACAGTATTTTTCATTTTCAAGAACCCTTTCAACCCTTAAAAATCTAAATAAACACTAATACTATCTTGCATCATTATAATAAAGATGACCGTGTGTATGTGTTCATATATCACTATCATTTCAATTGCCTCAACAATACCTCTAAATAATGGATATACTGTCATGTGTCATTTAATGACAGGGATACATTCTCAGAAATGGTCATTAGAAGATGCCGTCATTGTGTGAATGACATAATGTGTAGTTACACAAACCTAGATGGCATAGCCTACTAACCTATATGGTATTGGGATCACCATCATTTATGCATTTGTAGTTAACCAAAACGCCATTAAGCAACACACGACTGTATATAATATAATCTGCATAAACTGGGTTTCACTTAATACTGTGTATTAAGACAGGAGATTTTGAGGCAGTGGCAGAGGTCAAATATAACCATATCTGGCCATATCTTTTTCCTTTGGGAAAAGATTGAAGAGGCCATTGATTTTTCTTATGATAAAATATATTTATCCTAATAATGTTGTAACATATCTACATGACTGATTAGTCATTAACTGAAACACTTATAAAGATATATATATATAGGCCTTTTCATGTGAGTATGAGAAGGCATTTTACAGTTTATGCTAGGCATTGGGAATAAAAAAATAAACATACTCTTGAGAGACAAGACTGATGGGGAAAGGAAGGGAATATATGAATGTGAAATGTCGTAATAGACCAGAAGTTATACCTATAGAATGTCTGCTCTATTATTTCAATTTGCTGATTATTAATGGGGCCACTTTACCCAAATTTTCAAAATTATGTGGTTGTTGATATTATTATATTATTACCACATTCATGCTATTGATAATCTCTATTTTTCTTGGGTAATCTTGCTAGAGGATTTGTCAATTTTATAATCTCTATAACAAACTGTCCATTTGTGTAATATGACATTCCAAAATTAACATTTTGATGATTGCCTACCCAATGCTAGTTATTTCCTCAGAATTTCAACGTCCCATTGCAGAGGAAGGTCAAAAACATCTAATGCCTTAGTACTTTGTTTCATTCATTTCTGCAGTTTTTCTATTGTCATTTTTATTGATCTCTGCTCTTTGTTATTTCCTTTTTTCTGCTTCTTCTGATTTTAGTTTGTATTTTTTACAGGTTCTGAAAGAGGGCCCTCGGAACACTAATTTCAGACTTTTCATTTTTTCGAATGTATTACTGTTTAGTGCTATGAGTTTCCCTCTGAAAGTCAACTGCAGTCTCAGAAAAATAAGAAGCTATGGCTACAAATCTGGGAACAAGTAGCAGAAATTTTTAAATTACCAGTGACAAATAAAACAGGTTACAAGAAGCGAAAAGTTCTTATGCACCTGTGCCCATAAAACACATACAGTATTGTAAACCATAAAGAACTTAAAAAAAAAAAAAAAAAAGCCGTTCTCCAAGGTGAAATAAAGAAAAACCTCAAACTCAGCTGAATGGCAAAGGTAGTATTTACTAGAACCATTCCACAAAACAAAATAACTTTGACTTAACAACATCAAGTAAATGACCAAAAAGTCAATCACATGTAAAGAGGGAAAAACCTGCACAGGGAACATAACCCACCAAATCTGCAGTACAGACAATGCAAAACAGGAAACAGGCAACATATGAGCACAAAGAGAGAATCAGAATCTCATGTTTATGCTGGACTTACAAACAAGCTTCTTCACCTACTCAATTTCACAATTCCTAAGTAGGAGCTGAGGGGGTATGTGGTGTCTATGGAAAGGGTAAGTGTAGAACTCTAGTGATTTTGAGTTGTGCTATCCCACTGGTAATCATTAATTCTGATCATATTACACAGAAGAATATTTTTGCTTACCCTTTGAGCTTTTGCAAGTTCTTCTTTTAATCTTTCATAGCCCTTTTCTCTGACTTCCAAAACAGATGGACTTCGTAAACGAGACAGACTATCAGTACTCAACCCAAAAATATCATCACTGCCATCACAAGCCTCTGGTACAGTAGCACCCTGTAGAAACTCCCTCTCTGCATTACAATTGTCCTTTCGCGTAGTTACTTTAGTTAGCCCTGCTGTAACTCCAGAGGTAGAACAAGCTGCTGGATCTGTAACATGGATGCTGTAAAGGAGAGTTTAGAACATTAGCATATGCTCAAATAAAACTTTCGTGAACACATAGGTCCAGAACAGCACATTCAATTTGGTAATCACAACATACAATAGCACATCCTCAACCAAAATAGCCACATTTCAAGTCCTTAAGAGCCACGTGTGGCTATTCTATTGGCGCAGAAAGTTCACCTGGATAGTACTACTCTAGAACAGGGGTTGGCAGACTAAATTAAGCTAAAGCCAGCCTGTTGCCTACTTCTGCAGGTCCATAAACCAAAAATGGTTTCCAAATGGTTAAAAAAAAAAATCAAATTAATAACGGTTTGTGCAGCAAGAAAATTATATGAAATTCAAAATTTCAGTGGCATTATTGGAACATATTATGTAGGATCTATGGTTGCTTCAGCATTTTAATAGCCAATGTGAATAACATAAGAAACTAAAATATTTTTTATCTGGTCCTTTGTACAAAAAAAAGTCTGCTGACAACTGCTTTTGAATATGAACGTATATTGCTCTTCGTGGACAATCTTATAATACTCAAATGTTCTGTAATAATAAAACTCAAAATAGTAAGCAAGCTGTCCACTTGTTTAATATGGTACTCTAATATAAGCATTTTGATGCTCTCCTACCTTATACCAGATATTTCCGTACAATTTAAATGTCTGGGGGATGAATATACAGGTTGAGTGGGAAGGTCAGAAACATCTAGGGCATTCGCCTGGACAGGGGCCGAGCATAAAGCTGAAGGATGTGGTCTGTAGATGACACTTGGTGAGGTAGACTGCTCTTGAGCTCCCGGTTCATATACGCCAAGAAGGTCCGGAGAAGTAGGTGAAGCAAGGTTTACTTCATGGAAGCCTTCCAAGGGGTCATTAGCCATAGCAAAAGCCTCATCATAAGATAACCTATGTTTAAACAAAAAACAAATAGTATTTATAATTTATGCTAAGGTATAACTTACAAAATGTGTTTCATAGTCCATTATAAAGTATAAATAGGGGGGGAAATATGATAAAGAAAATAAACTACAATCATTTAACACTTACGTGATCTCAGGGTCAAACACCATACAAGGCCAACAATGTAATTCAGAACAACTTTTATAGTGATAGTTAACACTACTACATATAATTTATAACAGTGAGGAATGAATAAAAACTTGTTTGATATTTTTAGCTTTGCTATCATATGTGACATTGGACAGAAAAAGAGGTAGCAATAAAGATAAAAATGTATTCAGAATGACAGACACCTGAGTTTACCTGTCCTGTTCTCTTACATGCTGGCTGTATGATTTTCACAAATGTTTTACCTTTTCTTTTAAAATTATTTCAAATTTGCATTAGATGTGCAGAGCTTCTATATACCTTTCACCCTGATTATGAAACTGATTACACTTTAAAACCATTTGAGAACAGATTTCAGACATAATGCCCATAATTAGGTAGGACATTCCCTATCTAGCCACAAAACCATCATCTCAGGAAGGTAACACTGATGGATAAATAATGCCAGCTACTCAACAGGCCCCAAAAGAATTTCACTGTTTGGTCCAATAATGTCTTTCATGGGTCCAGAATCTAACCCAGAATAAAGTGCTGCATTTCTCTAAGGCTTTACTCCTCTGATGGGATGAAACTGGGATGAGAACAATACAGGCTGCTGTATTAAGGGAGATAGTCTATAAAAAGTATTCAGCAGTGGATGGGAATGCAAACTAGTACAACCACTATGGAAAACTGTTTGGAAGTTCCTCAAACTGCTAAACATGGAGCTTCCCCAACATCCAGCAATCCCACCCCTAGGTATCTACCCAAAAGACACAAAACACTGATTGAAAAAGATACCTGCACCCCCATGTTTATTGCTGCTTGATTTACAATTGGAAAAACATGGAAGCAGCCCAAATGCCCAAAAGTAGATGACTGGATTAAAAAGATGTGGTACATATATACA